CACCTCAGTGCGTGAAGCACGTACAGCAGTTCCTCGGACTGGCTAACTATTTTCGAAAGTTCATTCAAGGCTATTCAAAAATAGCAACTCCCCTGATGGACTTGACCAAACAGAATGGCAAGTGGGAGTGGACGTCGAAATGTCAATCGACGTTTGAGCATATAAAGGAGTGTTTGACCACAGCTCCCTTGCTCAAGATTCCAGATCCTGAGAGACCATTCGAGTTCATTGCAGATGCCTCGCAAACTGCTGTAGGGGCGGTCCTAATGCAGGACAATCACCCTGTTTGTTATGCGAGCAGGAAGTTCCTCCCAGCGGAGTTGAACTACAGCATGACGGACCAGGAGGCTTTAGCTTCAGTCCATGCTGTCCAGTTGTGGAGGTGTTACCTTGAAGGAACACGCTTCAAACTGGTAACGGACCACTGTCCGTTGACCTACCTTAAGTCACAACCACAACTGAGCCGGAGACAGGCCAGGTGGTCGGAAATCTTACAACAGTTTGACTTTGAATGGGAATATCGCCCAGGACAAAAGAATGTGGCTGATCCACTCTCTCGTATTCCTCCATCGCCGGATGAGCAGGTATCGAGGAGGAAAAGTCAACTGGTTGTATGTGGCTTAAGAGTAATGCATAAGCGGGGAAGCCAAAGAGAGGCAGGAGAGACGGTAGAGGCCAAAGATCTAGCTTCCAGGATCCGTCAGGCCTATGGCAAAGATCCCCAGCTTACGTCTGTAAGACAGCAGCAAGAGATGCGCTGTACAGACGGGTTATGGCTGCAAGGCAATCAGGTATATATACCTGCCAGTCTGCGGACTGAGATCTGCCAGTTGGCTCACGACCATCCAAGTGCGGGACACTTTGGTCAAGCCAAGACCCTGGATTTGGTCCAGCGGCATTACTGGTGGCCAGGAATGCAACGAGAAGTATAGTTGTACGTCGATACTTGCCTGGTTTGTCAGCAGGTTAAGTATCCTCGTCAAAAGACCCCAGGCTTATTATAGCCATTGGGCATTCTTGGGGAGCCATGGACCGAATTGTCCATGGACTTCATCACTCAACTGCCAAAAACTAAGGGAGGTCATGATGCTATCGTCGTATTCGTCGATAGACTGACCAAAATGGTCCGCTTAGCAGCCACGACCACCGAGCTCTCCACAGAAGGAGTAGCTGACCTGTTGGTGCAGAATGTGATAAGGCACCATGGCCTCCCCTCTCAGATAGTGTTCAACAGAGACGTTCGTTTAACTTCCAGGTTTTACCGGTACCTAGCCGAGAGGTGGAAGATTCAGCTCAATATGAGCACTGCGTACCATCCACAGACGGATGGCCAGACCGAAGTCATGAATCGGATTCTGGAGGATTACTTACGCAGCTATACGCGTTCTGACCATGACGCGTGGGATGAACTGTTAGCCATGGCCGAGTTTGCTATGAACAACTCGAAGAACAGTTCCACCCAAGAGACCCCGTTCTATCTGAATTACGGGAGGCACCCAAAGAGTCCCTTAGCTCTTGGTGTGCAAATTCGGAAGCCTTTAAAGGGCTATGACAATCCGAATGCCCGCGGCTTGGCAGTGGCCATTGAGAGGGCACAGCAGCCTTATTTGAGGCAGTCCGGTACACCCCTCGTGGAGGGATTACCAGCAGTGACACGATTTGATCACCGTGTCCAAACAGCACTGAAAGAGGCCAGGGCGTGCTTGGAAAAAGCACGAGATAGGCAGTCGAAGCATGCTGACCGCCATCGGAGGGAAGTGTCATTTAATAAAGGAGATGACGTCCTCCTTTCGACACAACATATCACCCTCAAGCACCCTGGAACTCAAAAATTATTACCGAGGTGGATTGGGACCTTCACCATCCTCGACCGGATAGGTTCTGTCGCATATCGACTAGAACTCCCGGAAAGCATGCATAGGATACATCCAGTATTTCATGTGTCGAAAATCAAGCCGTATAAGGCAAGTGGCAGAGTACAGCCACCCCCAGTACCTATCGAGATCGAAGGTGAACTGGAGTATGAAGTTGAACGTATTCTTGACAAAAGGATTAACAAGCGTGGGAGACGCAAAAACTATGTTGAGTACCTTGTCAAATGGCTGGGATATGGACATGAGCATAACAGCTGGGAATCAGTAAAGTTAGTTGCAAATGCACAGGAACTGGTTCAGGCATTTGAAAATGGCAGAACCCCTGTGATGTGAATGCAAACTGCGTGAAAGTACGGGATGTACATACTAAAACATGCTCATGTGTGACTATGCTTTGACAGGTTCTCCTGAGATGGGCCCAGAAGAACACTGGGTACACCGCTCCCCGTGCCAAGACGCGATTCGGACACATGAACGCCATGTCCGTTGCGATCTTGAACGGAGAAGGACTAGACATTGATGAACCGCTCGTGCCAGCCTCTCGTGGAGCTGGGCGTGTGCGTGGCCGCGGGCGAGGACGAGGTCCCGCACCGAGCCGACGCCCACCGGCATGGGCATTTGGTGGTTCCCATTCTCGGGGTCACAGATGACAGGCCGGGAGGTCGAACATTCCAGCCATGTGGCTGAGGAAGAGTTTTAATGAGGGTTGTGAAGACCGGGAGGTCATGTAAAAACAACCGCTCTTTCTCTTCACTATAGTTTGCATAATGTATGTGTGGTTACCGCGCCAACTGGGCCTGTGGCAAATCGCACAGCCAGTTCTATTCCCACATACATAATGTTTCTACTCCCCTATCCATACATTGGGACCGGGACGCCCCACCTCCCTGAGGGGGACGAATGTTACGCGCACCGGCCTGACGTGGGGGACGCCCTACTACTGGCCCTTGGTGTGGGGGACGCCCTACCCAAGATCGTATTGTATTCCTTGTCCTACGGTAACCATTATACTTATAAGGATATGGGAATAGGAGGGGTGGTCCCGCCTAGGTCCCCGTAAGGACCTAGGTGCCTGGCGAGGTGGGTCCGCGGCTCAAAGAGGGCAGGAGCCCCACACCCACAGACTTTTCGTATCAGATTGCCTGTTAACAACAGTAGTCTAGCGTTTGCAAGGGATGGCCGGGAAAGAACAGTGGGTTGCATCCCCTGTCTAGCAAGGAGTACCGGCCGAGGCAGCATTTATATATATTTATTAATTTAGGGGTATTTATTTATGATGGCGTGGACTGCAAATAGGTAGACATGTATTGTTTAAACATGTTGAAATATTGGAATTCGTTATATCAGTGTTGTGGCCCGAATCTAGAGGCAAAGGTTATTGGACACAAAGAAAAAATCCCCTTGGAAAAAATTGGCTCCAACAGAAACTGCCGCTGACCAACAGAACACTACCGGAATCTCAAAGTCCCTAACGGATGGCAACGAAACGCCAGGAAAGGCAGCAGAAAAAAAGCGCTTTAAAAAAAACCGCTGGCTACAAACACCCCCTTGACGGACAACTCCAGAGCCAGAAAAATGAAAGCTGACATGGCATGAACGGCTACAGAAACCCGGCCCCGGAAAAGTGACGGAAAATGGACGGACGGATTGTTTGTGTTCAAAAAAATTACAGAAGTAAAATAACAGAAAAAAGCTGAGCGGCCACGTCTACACACTACAGCCTATTGGAGATTGAGTTTGGGTGTTTGAGACCTTAGAGAGCCCGCATCCTGAGCCAACATGCGTGTCCTAAGCCAACGTTGACGAGACCAGTATCACACGCTGGTGTTAGTTCATTGAGACCAGAGGGCCTTTCATCATTGGGGCCTAGGAAGTGTGTTGGAAGCGTTGGGAGACTCGACCGATGGCTTAGCGATGGTGTCAAATGAGGGGTACGAAAAAAGTTTCCCAAACGTCAAGGAGAGAAAGGAGGAATACCTAGAAGCATGGTTGGTATTGTGCAGCTGGCCCGGCATTTCTGAAGTACGGATCTTCAACAATGTCAACGTGTTGGTGGGCAGGAGAGACAGCCGATGGGCTAAAGTGAACAACTTTGCCGAGTTCGATGTGGCAAATGGTGGGCGGTCTTTCTGCGTCGTCGAGCTCACCCATGATTCAGTGCGGGAAAGAACGGCGTATGAAATTGGATATAATTTGTGATCAACGGGCTCAACTGTGTGGTTGCGATTCTGGTCAGTTCGCACCTGATGTTGTTGTAGATGCCAAACCGTTAGGCAGTGGTTTCAAGGAGCACTCGAGGTTAACTTAGTGAATCTTCATCACCAGTTTCTGGTATTGAGGACTCGTTTGGAGCACCTTGAGAGACAACATTAACTGGCAGGGGGGGCCTATTACAGGAACGATTGTGATTGTGCCACAATTCTGAGAGAGTTGTCGCTTTCTCTGCTCTGGTTGTGAAAAGCGCAGGACTCTGCCTGAAGAGTTGAGTGGAGTAGAGAATGTGTGTCCCAACTTGCAGGCCACAATGGTGGCCGACTCATCGGAAATGCCATATTTTGCCGTTTTGCGATGCAAGAAACAGGGACCTGTAGGCGACAGTAGGCAGCAGAAGGGAAAATTCAATACCGCACGCACACTGCGCAACAGTCGCACACAATGCAAAAGCGTCCGTCGAGAAAACCATCCAAGTTGTACACACGCGACCCCTGGCTGTCAGAGGCGATTCCCCCCGAGGCGCTCGGCACGCCCCAAGACTTGACTGCAAAACCTACGACCTTCTTGCCCCTGCTCGCACCCCACACACGCTCTGATGAACCCCCGAAACAAATTTCCTCGCACTCGCTGGATATCGTCTTTCCACTGCCTCTGTCTTCACGGCCTCCCCTTGTGTTCACTCCACGGCACTGGAATCGGGCAGGAAGCACGCTCCATGCAAAAGGGACACCCACCACAAAGGGCAGGAGTCAGAAAAGGACCCTTGCAGCCTGAACTGCAGAATTCTACAGGCGTCACTGCACCCTTGCAACCCGACTGCGACCAAATGTGTTGGTCATCAAGCACAATCAATCAATTGAGGTTTTTGTAGTTGGCCGAGAAAGTTGCTCCCCTGGCAGGTGGCCATGTCGCCTATCCGCTGGCGCACAGCTTCTCCTCGTTTTCCGCAAGCAGAGTGTCGATGAGACCCGCCATCTCGCGGTGGTCGATGACATGGTCAGCTCCAGCGATGCTTTCAAACGTCATTTTGGATTTTTCGAACCTGGCAACAACACAGAAGACTCAGCGACCACTGGACACTTCCATTGGAAGGCAGATATGGCGCCTGCAGAAGTGACATGGCTTCATGAGGTGGACCAAGGCTGGGAGTCCGTGTAGGCCATACTGACAGGGGCTGCTGCACTGTTGGGTGGCTGAAAGCAAGGATGCAGGGATGCTGATTTAGCAAAGCTGATACAGCAGAAAACGAAAGAGTGCTGACGTAAGAAATACGGCAAGAAACAGTTGTGTTGACACCTGAGCAAAGAGCAGAAAATGTAAGGCTGGCGACAAACCGAACACAGAAACAAAGGGAGTTTCATCGTCCACTTCCTCACTGCATGCCACTCCTGCTACGGCTTGGATACTGCTGCACAATTTTCTGCAATTAAGACAAGGGGCCCATGTCCTGCTTAATCAGGACAGTGGGCCACCGCGTGTGATGTGCCGCCTTTGTGGCACCTTTCTAGGCACATGCACTGCCGCTTCGGTGCACAAGTCATTTCCAGTGGCACATTTCTCCAGCATTTCCCTTCTGTTGAAGGCAGTTATTTCTCTCAAGCCACAAGACTCACCTTTCTCGAAGGTGCTGTGGGATGAGGTGCAGGAATCGCTGAAACTCTTGCTGTGACAATCCCTCCTCCCTGTCTAAGAACTCCACGTCTTGTGCTGCTCGCAGCAGCAGTGTCCTCTCGTTCTGCAGGGACAGCCCGTAGACCTTGTCGTATACACCATTGATGCCAGAGATCGTCTCTGTGATGTCCTGCCCACTCTCCTTGGAGAACTCCTGCATGCTCTCCCTCAGGTCGCCGAACTGACCCAGCTGGTTGTGCAGGCCTTCGCTGACGTCCTGCAGGTTGCCCACTTAGTATCAGAACGTAAAAAACGTGGAAAGCTACAGTTAACCAATTCAAATGTGCAGCAATGGCAGAGACAAAGAGGCGATGTCGGGAAGATAGCAGGGAGGCTCACATCGCTGTGCTCATGGCAAGTGCAGATGCTCTTTCAGGCGAATCTCTGCATTCTTGCACTACAAACAGTAGTAGCACCCTCTAGCAACATTATCTTTTTCTGCTGGGACAGGAGTGGCATCAGGGCATTTGAGTGTGATGCAATATTTGGGAGCGAAATGAACATCACAGAAACACAAAGAGACTTTTTGGCCAGTACTAGGCAGGAGACTTCCTCGTTTGCAAGCACTGCCCTTGACAGCATGCATCTGGACAGATAGTTGCCACAACGTGCGTTTCCACCATCATACCGCTGCACCTTGATTGCACTCTAAACTGTGCTAGTGCATTCTCACTCCCAACCATGATGCTTAGACTCTCCACTTTGCAACCAACAGACGCCATAAATGTTGTTTATGTTTTACAAAAATCTGCTAACCTGCAGGTCGTCCACAGTGCCTTGGAGGGCCTCCACATGGTTGGACAGCTGGAAATTGGTGCTTTCAAAATCCTCCACACTGGACTGCAGCTTGAAGCTGGTTCTGGAGAGCCTGTCGTTTTCGCGCTTGAAACGGTTGAATTGGTGACGCATGGTGCCCATGGAGCACAGCATCCCGGAGGCGAGGAGGCTGCCGCCAAGGCCCACAATTCCCGCTGACAGCAGGAGGAAGTATAGGGGCACAAACTGAGCATGGACAGGCAGGTCGCAGAACAGCATCTCAGGCACACGAAGAATCGTTTTTGCACTGCAGTGGGTCGAGGTTCAATGATTACAGTCGCCAAACAATAGTTTGCCTAGTAACATCAATTTATGGAGTTGCTTCAAAAAGGCATAGAGGTTTTGCTTGCTGTGCATCTCCACGCTCTTCCTGGCACCTTTGCTTGATCCGGGGGGCTCTGAGGTTGCAAAAAAGTTGAGGGTTCAGAGGTGCCTGCGTACATATTGTTCTGTTTGATACATTGCTGCTCAGCCCATGATGCACTGCGCTATGGACAGGATACTGTTCAATGCAGAATATCAGTAATGCGATGTTGGTTCAGTTCAGCTGAGTTCAGTCCAGTGCTGGCAAAACACAGCACTTGCACCTCGGGTCCGATGATGGGCACTTGTACACACAAAGGAATTGCTCAACAGTGATCAAAAATGATCAATTTGTTACCCTGAGAGCACATCAGGAGCAGTAATATATGCATGCAAAAGTAAGCTAGTGAACTGGCAACGTGGTCAACACGGAAAATGGTCAGCATGGTAAACAACATGTTCACGGAAAAACAGGGATCATGACTGCCCTGCAGATGCAGATGATGCACAGACGAATGCACTGCAATGGGCAACAGTGACCGGTCACTCTGCAGTGCTGGAACACAAATGCCAAGACCTGGTTTCCACAGGCTTTGAATAGTCCAAACCTATGTGGTGAAAAAGGGGGGCTCCATCATGGCATGCTGTGTTGCCGTTGCTGGCCAAACTCACAAGTTGATTTCAATCCCAGACCCTTGAAGAATACAATGCCAACAACCATGCAATTATGTTGTGCTGTTGAAATTGCATCAAGTCACAAGCTGCAGTTGCAGCCATTACCACTGGCTGAAGGAGGGGATCAAGCATGTGTAGAATACAGCAAAATCAAGCATCAGTGGCGCGATGTGATGCAACTTTCAGTCTGAAGCCATTGTCATCACTGTCAGTGTAACACACGCAACCCACTGACGTTGCCAACTCATGAAAGGGCTTGCATAGTCATGTGCCGAAGGTAGTGACAGAGGCAGTGAGTTGTTGTCACACAAAGTGGCTATTGCGTTCCAGTCTGCTTGGGCCACTACGGCAACAGGCAGCACTCCGCTTTCATGAAATTTTCAGTAGCTTGTGGTACTGTTGCAACGTTAGATTGCTGGCGTGCAGGATGCAAGGACCATTTGGGACACTTTGCACCCATTATACTCCAAGTTTTCCCGGATTATGCCCACGCGAGCTACTTCCCATTTCCATTTTCTATAATATTTGTTGCACTTGCCTTCTTGCGATTACCCTTCCACTCATACCCGGTCTGTTGTGCATCCAATTTCAGGAGGCACACGTTCAGGGGGCTAATGTACTAGAATCTTTAAAATGCCCGAAAAGGCACGGTTTTTCGGTATCAATTCCGTGCCGAACTCCTGTACCGCAATGTTCGGGCGCCGTGACCTGGAACGCATGACCGACAAACCGACACGCGACTTTGGGCTGCCCCCACCGCTCTGGTGCTGCGGGGCGGTCTCCAAACGACGGACCTGTCCCTTGGAACTGTCAGCTGCGCAGCGTCAGCCGAGCCCACAGCCGTCGCCAGTCTCCACACAAAGCTGCTCCACAGTTTTCGGGCCGATCAGAGTGCACATTCCTCGCCGCCCATGCATACGTTCCGAAATGCCCATGAGCGACGTCTGACCCTGTTTCGGGTGCTCCGCTGACCGGACTGCAGCCCATGCAATCGGCAGGTCCCAGGCAGCAAGCGCATCGAGCTTCGGCTCGCCGGCGCCAGCGCAGGCGAGCGTCGCGCATGCCCTGGCCACGCCCGCCCTCTTCCCGCAAGCGCGGCTCTCGATCGGCACGAAAGGCGCAGCCGCGCGGGCCGCCAGGGAAGCCACAAAATACCAAAAACATTAAACACAAACGGCCAGCAACCTGAGCAGCGGGCCCCGCAGCGGGCGGATCGCAAACCCTCCCCCTCTCCGCATCCGCGAGGGTGTGACTCGCATCAAACCGCTTCTAAGTCACCATGCCGACGCCGACAGATCACCACTTTCAGCCTTCTCGCCACTCACGTCGGTCAACAAGCCCACGACGAGACAGAAGATCGAGCCCACGGCCAGCAGTGTCACGGGGATCGCCGTCAGCAGGGAGCCCGTCCTTGCCGGCGGCTTGGGGACGCTCTCCTCATCTCGCGCGCCGGCCGCGCCCTCCTCGGCGTCCAGCAGCGGCGTCCTCACGTCGCTGGCGTCCGCCGCAAGGCCCTCGCTGGCGCCGGAGTCCGCCATGGCCTTCGGCGCGCTCTGCGGGTGCACGTGCCTTGGGGTCAGACCGACGCGCTTACCCCCCTCCCCGGGGAGTGCAAAGGACTGTCCAGGTGCCACGCCCTTCGCCCGTGCGCCAATCACTATTTTGGGGATTACATTGACCAAAATTGGCCAGGACTCTGGCCGATATAAATCGGTACCGCCTATCTGTCTCTTTGCAGCTGGGGGGTGGGTGGGCAGGCATTGATATAGACTAACCGTATCTCTGTGTGTTTGCAGAGGAGGGCGCTGTCGCTTGCGGTTGCAGCGCTGCTTCGTTGGCAGCTCCCTCCTCAAACCCTCACCCCCCCCGGATGGTACGGTTTATACTCCTTTGTTCCTAGATGTTTTGCTATCTAGATAAGACGTTATTTTGATGTTGGTACGCTTGGCGTCAAATTGACGTGGGGGAGGGGGAGGGCGGCCATTGACGCTAAGAGATTATGTAATTGTACTAAAATCAAAATAAGGTGGGAAGATGCACAAGAGCGCTGCTGATCAAGCGCAAATAACTCATAACTTGTTGACAAACCTCCCATAAAACTTTTCGTCTTTCAGGAAGTCCCTAGAGTTGTTCAATTTCCAGGCTTTGGGGCTCTTCTATCGCGTGCAATAGATTTTGGCACTGTTCTGTTGAAATTCAATAGTTGAATGCCTGCTGCTGGTATGCGCCGCCAGATTTCTGCAAGTAGTCTCACACACATCAATAAAATTCCACTGTCGGTGAAGTTGCCCAGGATTCGAGTACTGAGCCGCTTCATAGTTGAGCAGCTTAAATTCCATGAAGTTCCCACAATATTAAGCAAACACGAGGCGAGCGCTGCTTGTGCAATCCACCAATTGGTGGATGCTATTGCAATAGCTTCCACGTATTTTACAGCTCCAGCTCTAGGCTGGGTTCTGCTTTTCAAAAATTGCTGCAACACCGCTTTTTCTAGGGACAAATTTGCATTGCAGCAATTTTCCTGATGCAGTACCCATCGCAGCATTAATAGCTGCAGTATGCATACCGTACCATGTGATGCGGTATTCCATCCTCTCCATTTAAAATATGTGTGCCGATTTTTTTCGCATTGCTTGGTATCATGCCCATCCAACATCACCCAATTTTATTTCCTCAAGCGCTGTAGCTGGGGAGGGCACAATACCACTTTTGCCAAAAATCACACACATGATTTTATTATAGTAAATAATAAATAATATCAATTAGTGTTCTGCATGCTAAAAATATGGAAACGATCCAAATCCGTAAAGTTTTTACACGTTTGGACACATGTCATTTGGTCCTTTTTCTCTATTGAGGAGCAAATGAGTTTTGGGCGGCATTGGGATCGGCGTAGAGGTGGCCACTCAAAGGTGCCATCCGGTCCGCTAAATCCGGTTCATTAATTTTTATCAGCTGTCCGTTAAATTTCGTTAAAGAAAAAGGGAGAAAAATTCAGAAAAAAGGAAAAATCCAAAAAAATCAAAAAAATACCCAAAAAATCACAACAACTGCGGCTAGTTGAAAATCTAGTATGCATAGGTTGAAATAAAATACAAACATACTCTCTAATAGCGAATTCCATAAACTATAAGTATGACTAAAACCCAAAAATCCCCAAAAAATCCAAAAATCCGCTAATTTTTGTTTAATTTTTGTCTTTTTTCGTTATTTTCCGTTGATTAACGGAAAATTAACGGAGATTAACCTCTGTCCGCTATTAACGGATCCGGGTGGCCACCTCTAGATCGGCGCAAAGCCTTCCTTCCCTGTCGAGCACATTGCTGGGCGCACCGAAGCCTGGCCTGCATGAAAGCGACCAGTCCAAGGCGCACGAGCGCGCTTTAGAATGACTGTAGCTACAGTCCACTGTAGCGCGATCAACCACTGTCCTTGCAAGGACAATTGCGCACTTGGCGGGCACACAAACATACAGTCCTAAGGTCTCTTGGGGTTTGGTATCGCCTCTTTAAGCAGTGGGAAACTACTCCAAACAACTTTTTTGCTGCTTGTGCCTACGTCGCCCCCAGTGGCTGAATAATAATGGCCATGGACGCTGCTTAGAAATTCAGATTCACCACCGCGCGACCGACAGTACAGTAAATGTGCACTTCATAAATGATCATTGTGTGCGATTCCTGTTTGATCGCCAGTTCTTTCTGTTCATTTATATGGGCATCTCAAATGCAAAGGCCCTGGCTGAAGGTTCTTGATCGATACCTGAAGTTGATATTTATCAACATCAGTCGATTGGGACTTGCGCAATCAAGGCATAAGAGTGAATGAGCTGTTGTGGCGACCATAAGGGATCAAAAATTTCAAATGCACATCACAATGTGACGCAAATTCATGCCACAGGGAAATGCCAGTGTCCCGCTTTAGAATCCATGAAATGGCCCCCTACGGTGGGAAATTCCCTACAATTACAGAAGACTCAAACGCGCAACGTTCCGTTGTTCCAGTAACAAAGCATCACTGGTGTCTGCCCAACCATACTTTTATAAACTTCTGATATATACTGGAGGTTGTATGTATCCATTAAAAAATGGAGAGAGCTTGTGCACGTCGCATCACAGCGACTGTGAACCACCTCAATCATGCACAAGCAGCTCCACGCCGCTCGCAGTGAATGCGGACTCTCCTTTCTTTTCCATTGGGATGGACACGGTCTCCAATGTACATGTTGAGGATATTAATTTAAACTTGTGATTCGGATGCTGAATCCGACTCAATCTTGTCGACACTGTGCCTCTGGACATCCCATGCAGCGTCCTGTGCACACTGCGGTATTGGCATCTACCAACAACTCTCCATGCCTGCCACGTTTCCAATTCCGACTTTGACGCTGCCGTCATCTCACCACATTCATATCGAGAAATATGCACATCTGACACCACACAGTATTGGGAAAAAAAGGCACAAGCAAGGGTTGTAAATTGCTCGGCACGTTATAGCGCTTTTCCTAAAACAGCGTCTCCACTCTTAGGAAATGGTACAAAGCCCTGTGTAGTCTTAGGTTCACAGCATTTTCGTGAAATTTATCCCCATATCTTGCGCTCGGTGCTATGCACTCCAGGCGTTACAACACAGTTGATAGCGAAGCGCAATCCATGCCGTCAGACACGGACGGCGGCAAAACTGAGTTTCCTGTTGACACTCCTGATCCAGATCTGGATTATTATGCCATCATCCTGGTTGCGCTTTTCAGCACCAATGCCTGATTTGTGGCTACCTCACTATAACCACCACTGCATGCAGTGCGCACTGAGTGGATAACTTATGATTACACCAAAAGGCAGGCGTCAATAGACATGCGCTATGCTTGGACTCACATTGTTAGAATGAGCTACTTACGAGAGACGGGCCCATAAGTTGGGAAGCATGATTATGTCCATTATTCGTGTTTATGCCTTTCTATGATGTCTGGGTTGCCGATCTCCTGCCCCAGAGTCTGCCGTGATTGGATCATCTCGCACTGGTGTGGTGCATTGATCAATGCGCACATTGATGGATATCGATCAATGTCTTCATGAAGGCTTGCGTTTCGATGTTGTCCGGACTTGCCACTCATGAGTGGCCTGTGATCACAATCAACAGCACCTGGTGATCACAGGGTGCGAGCACCCTGTGCAGTTAGACGTGGCAATGGTCTCCTTGCTTGCTGCTATTCCCAAAAGCGTCGTCACAACTTCAACGGCCATATCTTGTTATTCTTGTTCTAGTAGTTGTGGTGGCAGTTAATGTCCATGCAGCACTGAGTGCATGCAATTGGCCTTCACCTCTGAGGCTAGACTTGGGGTTTTTATGACATTCCAGTAGATGACATGAAGGCAAGCTACAAGGCACAAAGTCAGGAACAATCAATGATCCTTGTGAGCAAATTCCAGGGCACAATATTTTGCCAATTGTCACCTATTGGCAAATTCACAAATCTCCTAACCTTGTGAAAGGGACACATTTTCAGTCACTGCACTAGGGGTGGCCACACTCGGGTGCCGTCCAGTCTGTTGAGTTCGGTTCATAAAAGTGAGTGTGATATTCGTCCGGTAGTATCCGGTCTGCTGTTTGCCGTACTGCCATCCGCAAAATCCGGTTCTCACTTTTTCTTCACTGTTATTTGCCGTTAAATTAACGGATGACGTGTGCGGCGTCCGGTTTGTAACAAAATATCCGTTGATTAATAGTTTTGGTCCATTATTACCCATAGGTACTTGCTTTCTAGCCACGGCAAGGTCAAGGCGAAGTTGCCAAAGGGTTTCCATTTTGCAGCAACTCGAATTATGTTGGTTGCATGCTTGATAAATGTGTGTGGGCGTTTTCCAGGTTATGTATTCTGCGGTTTGTAATACATGGAGTGATTTGGAGAACTGAACAACACACAAGCCGTGTGTAAAGTTCCAATGTATGGCATACACTGGAACTTGCATGCATACACTGTATGCATGCAATCCTGCACCACTTGCTACGGCTGGTACTGCTGCGTACCACACTCCCATTGCAAGTCTTCCCGGCCATTGCAGCAAGGGTTCGGCATAGTTGTAATACCAAATGCGGATACACAAACACCCACATCACCTGAGGCAGGTGGCAAAAAGGGTTCACCTCTGAACACAGTTGAGCCACTCAACATATTTGGGAACGGGTGATACGTATCATATATAACGATGGGTTGCTGCAGCGGTACTCCACAGTTTCCACGCCAGGGCAGCGAGTGTAAAGCTCATCCACCAATTGCACTATTTGAATGGAAACATTTCTCACAGAAATTCTCTTCTATCTATATGATACCCTAGGTTCATCCACCATTCCAACATAGTACGTCGAAGTTCAACAGTTCAACATACATGAAAACGGGCAACGAATAGTACGAGTCGTGATTTGTTATCTTCCATCTCTGCCTATCGCACCCTCGCTGTGGCGGTACTCCAGAAGTTTCCATGCCAGGGCAGCGACTGTAAAGTCTATCCACCAATTGCAGTATTTGTTGGGACGCATTTCT